CTTTGGGGAGTTGTATCTTCTTTCTCAATAAAATGATGCAACATGTTTTTAATGGAAATGAATGCCGAAATAGAGTATAACAGGTTACCTAAATTTTAAAAAAATCGAGGGTGGTGTTTTTTTTTTATTCGCATCAGAATTTTTCTTTGTTTGATTTTTTTTTTCCATGTTTGACTAAATATATCCTGACTATTGTATCACACAGATACCTTAGTTATTTTTTAAATATTAGCTATATATTAGTAGAATAATATCTGCAAATTATATCATAATGATTAAATTATTTCATGAGATACAGACCTCCAAAGTTTGCCATTTGTCGTTCGAGCAGGCATGTTTGTCAATTTTTAGAAAAATAAATCAATTTTAAATAAATATGATTACTTTATATTACAAGCAAGCTATACCCATAGTTTGCGCCTAAAACGTATTAGAGTTCTCCTAATGTTATCGCTTTAGTTATTCACTCTCAAACGGGCCCCCTCCATCAGTGCGCGTTAATGCAACTGTCCACCACCTCATGCCTTACGATTTTTCCTGACCCCAAGTATTTTTTCTAGTCAAAACTAAGTTTGGATTCGTTCATACCAGACACTAGACAATAACATATAAAAACATCAGTTGATTTGAAAATGTCGACTAGCCATCCTTTGGTCGATCTTATCTGAAATCACCCAACAGTAGTTTCCTGTTTGAAGTCCACTTTAACATAATCATGTGTTCACGAAATGAACCTTAGCTTCATTTCCCAGATTCAAAAGATCAGGGATTCAAGTTACCCGGACTCGAATCATCTCATCAGCATGTGAGAGCTTAATAAAAAAAAGTTAAGATTAGTTTTAATTTCATGTTGTAAGAACCAGATAGAAAAGGAAAAAAAAGAAAGTTTTGGTTATTCCTTATCTTCACAGCATTTTACACGAACTTAAAAGGTCGCGTCCAGATATGAGGTGAACGTTCTTTTTTCAGCGCAAATCAAACTAAGCAGAAAAGTTCTGCTGTAAGCGTACGCAGGGAGGAAAAAGCAAGATCAGAACATAACACCTGCTAGATGAAACATGGAAAAAAGTACGTGTCGTACGTAAAAGGCGCGGTCTACAGGATTCCTTTTTCTTGTGGTCGCTCTTATATCGGACAGACTGGCCGGTGCTTAAACATCCGACTCAAAGAGCACCGAAGCTCCTTAAAAGGCACCGCTTATGAACATTTAGTGATGCACTGCCGAGATTGCGGGTGCGAACCACGCTTCATTAACACCAGTTTAATATATCAACACCACGACCAAACATGTCGAGAGATGATTGAAGCCTACAACAAAACGAAGAACATCTTGTGTGTGAGTCAACCTTCGTTGACTCTGATCCCCAGCGAGATGAACTTTCTGGATTTAGGATAGCAGCACCTGCGGAGGGAAAGAAGAAAAACAGTTTCAACATTCAGGTTTACGAGATCACCTGAGGTGGAAAAAGATCCTACGAGGCGCCCGGCAAGATCGCGAACATTTGACGTATTTTTTTCCTTTTATTTCCTTTTTTCTTTATGTTCTAATAACAAACCAGTTGTTAGTCACCGCTTGTCTTGAGTTCTCTTCGTCTTTTTGTCCTTGTCCCAGTCGCGCTGTTTTTTCAACATGAGATAATCCTGGCATAAGAACATTTGTCGACAGCGGGGAAAATGACGTCACATGACTCGGTGTCGCGTCACCTATGAACAAATTCAATTTCTCTGCTAAATATAGCGGGAAAATTGACGTCACCTGACTTCAACAGCAGTTCAATTCCCTCCTAAATTTAGCGGGAAAATATACGTCACGTGACCTCAAGACCCATTCAGTTTCTCCACTAAATTTAGCGAGGAAAATGACGTCACAAGACTTGGTGTCACGCCACCTATGGACAAATTCAGTTTTTTTTTTTAATTAGATTTAGCGGGAAATTTGACGTCACGTGCGGAGGGCGAGGAGGGGAAAATACGGAGGAGGAATGGAGGACGGGGAAGAGGGGAGGAGGAGGAGTGGAGGAGAGGAAGGAAAGGAGGTGAAGACTAAGAGCAGAGGAGGAGGGCCATACGTTACCCTCCGTACCCTCCCCTCCTCCTCCTCAAGTACTGCGCTCTAGTATCGCGTTACAGAAATTTGTAAACGAGTTTAATTTATTTTTTACCTTCCTTATGTGACGCCAGAATGATAATTTTTAACACAGTCGCGGGTGACTAAAAATAAGATTATTCCGTGATTTTTTGTTTTGTTTGCTGCTTACGCGCAGATAAATTTTATATATCTAGAGTACCTTGTGCCAGAAAAAAAAAAGTCAATATTAATTGTTCTTTCTGCGAAAAATGTAATTCATTTTTAATTTCGGTCATACATTTTCAGTTATTTACTTTCTATGAGGTGTCCTGTCCTGGCCCCCTTTATGCTGCTTTCATTCTGCACATCTAACATTGCCAACACGCTCTAATTCGTCCACCCAGGAGTGTTCTAGTACCTAATTTTTTTTAGTTCCTTGGAAAGTAATTGTACCTGTTCTGGGCTAACTATATTGTTTTAATAATATACAAAAACTATGAGTGCAGTGGCCAATTTCTTTTTTTAATTGTACGTCCAAATCAGTATGCAATAGGGCTACGATTATCTGCCTCGTTTTATCTCGTCTTTTGCCGCTTACTCGTATTCTATTGTGAGCGTCGGCGAACAAAATTGGCGGGTAAGCAAAATGAGCTTGGTTCTCAAATTTAAGTTTGTTTAAAACATAATAACTTAATATTCGTTTTTCTTTTTTGTCGACAGTTAGAGGGAATTATCGCAGCTACTACATCAGAGACTTATCGTAGAACGTCAGCATGCAGATTGCGGGCCCGGTGGGCGCGAGCTCCGTCCGTCCTCGAAGTGACGGCTCCCCCAAAACTACGCAACACTCCTGTATACTGCTGGGAGTGATCTACGGAAAGTTCCTATTAACGTGATTAGTAAGTGTAGCTGCACCACTGAATCACGCGACAAGACAGAGAAACAATAATTAACCCTGTCTTCCGCACTGCTTGCGATTCATGCTTCTGCCGATCGTTTTTGAATCATCTCCCAGGAACCGAATAACACTTTTCGGGAGAAACATATTTACCTTTCTGTTGAATACAATGCTGTGGCATTCGAGTACACAACAATACCTAGTGCCCTGCCCTTTGGCATTCGGTTCGTTACTTCATCAAGTACGAGGCCAGCACGACAAGCGCAATAGCCTCCCTCGTCGTCTGCTCCTCGTGCTACTGACAAGTATGGACGCGACTCGCCAGGCGGAGGAGTGGCGCTGCGTATGAGCGGCGAAACTTTAGCCGCACAGCCCTAAATGAGGGGACTTGTTCGTGGCCGACACCTCAGTTATGGTGGTTTATTTGTGTTCGGTGAAGAGCGTTGCTTGTTAATTACTGGCTGAAGAATGTGGTCCTTGCCGTATGTAAACCTTCCTACTGCCTATCAACCAGGTGAAAATTTCTAAGTCACAGGGACGTGTACGCATGCGAAGCTTCATATATTTAGCAGAAATTCTTCAACTTTAAACGCAAAGCTGCGAACCTTCACAACGCCCTCCACAAAAAAAAAAAAAAAAAAAAAAAAAAAACGTTACAGTTTTGTTTAGACGCGATGAACTCTACTACAATGAAACAACCTATGCTTACGACTACGCAAATAAATCAGTTGTGTTGGTTCAGGGCCCTCTGGATGCTGCTATGCATCGAGATTGCCACCATAAAAGAGAGTATATCGTCCCAATACGGAAGCAAAATTCTTTTTTCTTGTCGCGAAATTCCACAAACGTGTATCGAAACAAAACGAATTCGAAAGCCTTACCTCCTCCACTCAACCTGACGAAATCCTTGGCACCAAAACCTTACTAACGACTGATGTGCAAAAAAGCGAAACTTTTATTTAGTAAGCAGTGCAATAGCTACCGGAATGATCGAAAAAATGAACGAGCTGGTGGCGCTTATAAAATTGCGACGAAACTTCAATCTTCTCTCTCTTTCTCCCCTCCGGCTTCTCTTGGGCACGTCGGTCACAGTCATAATCTCCACTTTGCCGCTCTCTGTTCAAGTATCTCTTCAACAGTCCCCTCCCTTATCCTTTCATCTTGTGAGCCGTCGCGAAGATCTGTTGAGAGCCTCGCTCCGTGGCCCGCGCATGCGAGCGATAAGAAGTGAAGTTGATGTTGATGGAGAGTTAAACTGAGTTGATGGAGAGAAAGTACATCTACTTTCTCTCCGTCAACTCAGGGATCCTGGGTTCAATCCCCACCCCCTGCCCGTTTCGATCTGGATGAGCATCGTACCGGCGTGCGGTCGTGTATCACTACTGGGTGGTGCACGTTAAAGACCCCAGGCTAGCGGTTGTACTACTCTGACTAAATTGCTCATCTACAGCGACGGACTCGTCGAAACTCTGAAATGACTGACCAACTACACGCTGTATAAATATCCACATAAACCTCGATTAATTATCTCCTTCAACACGCGCAAGCACACGATAAAGAGAGAAAGTAGACACGGGTACAGTCAGGTACAGGTTCCGAAAAGTTGGCCAGGAAAAGGATCCAACAGACAGAGCGCTGGGGAATGGAGGAAGAGGATTCTTCCTCTCCAGCATTCCGTCTGTTCTCTACTCCTCAGCCTCCCTCTCTCTCGCCAACGTTTCTCAACCTGTAACTGAATATAGCGCACTCTTGCTTATAATTACGGTGTTTTGGGGGAAAGAATAAGCGATGCCCTATGGCCTGGAGGTGTTTTCTTTCCCAGTTCTGACCTAAAAAAACCGGCGTTCGAATTGAAGTGCAACGCTGCAGCTATTGTTGTTGTAACAATTAAATTACATTTCGCGGTCATTACTAATATTCTCTAAACAAGATTCCCACGTTATCAATGTGGCGTTGCGCCAGTGTCACGCTCCCTTGCTTTCTGCATCGTCCTTTTCGGCTTTGCGTCAGTGGCGGGATTTTGGATCTTTCCAGGTACTGCAGACTCTGTCAAGCACAGAGGGTCGACAAGGTACGGCGCCGGTGGAAGGGCCAACACTAATTTAAATATAGGTAGGCCAGGGTTCCCCCAAAATTTTTACGATTCTAGTAGTTAACATCTCCCACTTTTTTGTATGCATCCGCACATAACGAATCCCATTTTTTTTGTTGTAGAAGAATGTTGGCCATTCCTTGGGTTTGCTGCATCTTGGAATGTCCCTCGTCTCCTTTGATTTTGATGTGTTGAGTGCTTGGCTTGTGTCCCCCCTTGCGTCGGCCGACCTTACCCCACTTGTCCACTGACCCCACTTTATTTTGCCGAATGCCGAAGTTTATCCTTGTCATGTCTACGCATGTGCAGCTTGTTTCGTCCCAAATATTTAAGTAATACTCGTGCTTGTATTTCTAATATTTTTACGCATTTTATTTTTACTCCGATTCATACTTGGTGTATAACGCTGAGGAGAATCCGCTGGCTCGAGCCTGTTCCATAATGTTGCGTTTTGTTTTTCTAGCACTCTCTTGGAAGTAAAACAACGGATGAAGCCACGTTCGCCACTCAGTAGCATTTTAGTATCATTCCCATCGCTGTAGACAAAGCAGGGAACACAGTACATGCAAAGTGTATAATTTTAATTCGAACGGATTTACCGAGAAAGAGGTGTACTAACACGGTGTGTGCAAGTGAGTCATACGGCCAAAAAAAGATAATATAGCAAAAAAAAAAAAAAATCGTCAGAGTAAGTCACGCCATCAACTAAGAAAAAGGTAATCATCTATTTTTAATCACTGAAAATAAACATGGAAATTCAAATAGAAACTTGCTGATCGTCATCCAAAACCTCCAAACCTCTAAATCAATCAAAAAGAAAAATAAGCGTGGTAGTGCGCTAAAGTTACCACTCGTGGAGCAGGCACAAGCTTGGTCTCTCGACAGAAGCCCAGGTTGGTTAATTGCCCCAAGTAGGGCCCCTGCAAGTCTCACACGAGGGATGCCGAGGTTGGTTGCCCAAGTAGGCCCATAACGGAAGCCCAGTGGGCACGTGAAGTCGGGCCGGAGTTTAAGCCCGAGTTGTAAAACCGACGTGGGATCGAAGTACGCTGCCCAAAATAGCCCCCCCCCCCCCCCCCACACACACACACACTTTTTTTTTTTTGGAGCCCACATTGTGCTATTTGAGCAACTAGTGGTGTGAAAGCAAGGGCGATTCGGGTGTATCGCCCGCGTTTTCAAACCGTTTGCTTTGTGCCTGCTCCACGAGAAGTAACTTTAGCGCACTACTTCGCTTCCCCCGTTCTTCAAATCTCTCTCTAAAATTAACTAAAATAAACTGATTTAGAGGGTTTTGATGATGATTTGCAAGTTAGTAATTAAAACCATTTTTAATGTCAGTATTTAAAAAGTTGACAAAGAAATTAGCTAATAATTCGACTTACTGTGAGGATTAGCCCCCTTATATTATGTCCTCCGACCGTATAAGTCAAATGCATAAAGCGCGTTAACGTACCTTTCACGACTTTATTAATTTTTTCTTCAATAAGTAGCTTCGAATTAAAAGCAAACACTCCGCGTAGCTCCTGACAACTTAAGAAACGATGGGCGTGACTCATCACCTTTTCCACTTCGTGATCGATTCCTCGGCGTTTTTTTCAGCTCACGCAGCGTTCTCCTTGACTGCGGATCAATAATAGAATGCCTTGCCATGCCCTGTAGTTCTTAAGCTGTCGGTGGATATACATAGTGGCATCGTTACCTGTCGATATGAAGGCAGACGACAGAGCCAAGACCGCGTAGCAGATTTTTTTCTTTTAACGCGATACCGTTAAAAATTTCCTGTCGCAGAAAATCCGATGCCGGTGGCGTGACAGGAAAATCCTGACTGGTCGATAGGGTCATGCCGTCACCGTCCCATGACCTGGCGTGACACGTGCCGCCAAGCGTCAAATGAAAGCACTTAAAATATGACATGAAATGCGAATGAAAAGTCGCCGCATGTCTCAAATTATTTCACTTCATAAAGTAATTAATTTACCTTAAAGAAACAAAACTTAAGAATTTTAGTCGGGATCTAAACCTACGAACCTTCGGTTGCGTGCCAGATACACCATCGACTAGGCCGCGCAACGGACGCTTGCATGGAGAATGAGAAGGCGATGCGAACGGGGCCCGACAACGCTATCGCGTTCTACTGTTAAAGGCGAAGTTTAAGAGTCCTCCAAACTTTTCCCTTTAAAATTCAGATGAGCGTTGTCACAGTTGCCATGTCTATGACACTATCTTCGGTCTGTGACGTCATCAAAATTTCATCGCTTCCAGCGATCGAAATCAAAATCAGAATGTAGAATACACGCGACAATGTACAAGTTACAGCGTCTCGATGTATTGTTCTACGTTCGGTCTTTCAGGCACGCTATGAGCATTATCTAGAGAAAGCAATCTTTTTTTTTACTTTTACCGGATAAGACAGAGAGTGTGCGCACATCGGAAGAACAGCAAAAGAGCCAGAAAACAAGAACTAGGAACAGAAAAGAAAAAAAAAAAAAAGAAAAAACTTTGTACTCATCCTTTTCTGGAGCCTTCAGTATCCTTCTGATATTTCTACTTCTTCGAAGTTTCCAATTTCCTCCCCCCCAAAAAATACATTGAACTATAACGCGGTAGTAAATAATCTCCGATAGAACACCAAAAATTCCTACGATGAAAATTACCGCCATATACTTATTTCTCACGAGTGTCCGTTGTTTTTTTCTTTGCAGGCGCCATTTTCACTCCCCACTCTCGGGACTTGCAGACCGCCTACGAGTTCACCATGCACGAGCACAACAAGGGCGAATCCAGGTTCAAGGTCAACTCGACGGTTGGAATCGTCATGAACGACGATCCTTTCAACCTTACCCGAGAAGGTAAGTCCCCAAAAGATAAAATCGAACAAAAAAAAACCTCACAATCTAAACCTTGAAACAAGAGAAATAAAAAAAGGGTCAAGACGACACAAAATTTCAACGCAGCTGAGTTTATTCGCAAGGAAACAGCAAATTATAGCTGTCCACACAGACAAGAAAGAAAGAATACAAAGTGACATACCGCCGAAAAGTTAGCGGAACTAAGCCAGACTGGCTAACCTCCACTCAGACGCCTCATCACCAGAATATACCCGACGCCCAGCTAACCAGGAGAGTCCACGTCAAGGCTATGTAAACAAAGTGAAAACCCGCACGGTCCTCCCCCCCCCCCCCCCTTCCCCCCCGCCACTACCCACCCCTCGACAACAATAACACACAACAAACGGAACGTTCACACGCATTCGTTCAAAACTATAGACGGCTAGATCACACAATTTCCGTGGTCCCCTAAACTCGAGGTTTCCTTTAAAATTATTTTGAAAGAATCGCTTTCTTTGCGCAAGATTGAAGCATCTTGCCATAATGGCGAGCTCGCATAATATTCCGCAATATGTTTGGCTGGTTCAGATTAGAGCCACTAAACGAGCTACGCTTAGTGTATCGGGACTCCGTTCCCCGATCTGCTAGTGGGCGCCGCCATCTTGGTCCTTAGGGCAGAGCAGACGCCACTGTCGATCGTCACAATTCCAAAATGCGACTTCCTTAGCTTTAGCCACCGGCTTTAGACAGGAATCACGGAGATGACTATGTCGATACTCTGACTAAAGCGTAGCATATTTAGTGGCTCTAGTCCCCCCCCCCCCCCCCCCCCCCCCCCCCGTCCCGTTCCAGATGATGGAGATACACTCTTCACACTTCTTTTGTGTTCCAAGAGGCTGTGTTTACACACCGACCCATCTGGCGCACATAGCTCCGTTCCCCCGAAAATTTGCACAAAATGTGAGCAGTCCGTAATAACGAAACAATGATTCATGCATTTTGTGTCGTCGTGTCCGTTTATTTTTATTTCTACCTGTCTCAAAGTTTATATTATGATGTTTCCTAACCACCTCGCCCGCACACGTTCGCTACATGCAAAAAAAAAAAAAAAAATGTGTGTTATTTAACTGCATGGGTTGCAGGCTTCTCACATTTTCCCGTCAATATATATAAAAAGAAAAACAGGAAAGTGCTCCTTCGGTGGTCACAAACACGATAGAAAGCTCGTAGTCTGTTAGGTTGGAAGAAAACATTGGGACAGACTTGTAGGTAACGGATTATCAGAAACGCGTTACTTGTATCTAAGTACTTTTTTCGGAAACAATGTAACGACTTAGGTACTTTTCAAAACAAGGAACAAATAAGGTGTTAGGTAACTTTTCGATGGACTAATGTACGGCAATATTTAGCTGCTTGTGGAGGAGAACGCATACGATATGAAACCCAACGTAGTGCTCAGCGGATGGATGGATGGATGGTAATGGCTACGCCCTTTGAAACGGGCGGCAGCTTGCGCCACTTAGCCTAACCCCAGCTCTCTCTTTTTTTTCTTTTTTTACTTGAAAAGCATAAAAAAGCTAGACAAACAATAAAACTATATGTGTACAAGGTACGTCGCTAAGACTACAGTTATCCCTGAAATGATGCTTTAAAAGCGAGGAATTATAAATAATTGCAAACATTCCGCTCACATTATTAACGCTTTTTTTTTAAAGGAGCGGATAGGAATTAACGAGACATCGCAGTAAACCAACGCCATTTCGTATTTTTAAAAGAGTATTTTTTGTTAATTCTCGTGAAGTATCGACCTGCGTAAAGTCAGTCGTATGGAACGACATTTAAAAACATCAAAAAACGACCTTCTTTTTTTTTTTTATCGATGGTGAATAAAATATTCGACGAACGAACGTCACGGGCGATATTCAAATTCCGCAAAACTCCATCGCCGCTTCCTTTTTTAATATTTTATTTATGTGTATTTTTATCGTATTTACTTGACATACGCCCGTTAACTGTTCAAACACAGAAACGCTATCACCGGTCAAAGAGACACTAAAACCAGCCTGCATTTGGGGTTCCTTTTTTCTTTTTTTTGTCTTTCTCCGCAGTGCAAAGAAACGCGCTTAGCTCTTGGCACCGCTGCTACTCCGTATAACTTTAAGAGTTTTTACTCCAGAGGAATTCTTTGATTTCTTTATATATATAGCCACCGTGCCCCTTGACACGTGTTCAGAGGACGCGCCTTTTGGTGCGTTGCTTGTCTACAAATTTTTAAACGTTCTTTTCTTTTTTTTTTTTTTTGCAGACGAATGCATATACTTTTTGTATTTTTCTGCTGTTTTCGTTGGCGTGTGTCGAGGCAATTTCTGACGGAGTGCAGCCTTTTAGACATCCAAGGATTGCTCTCCTCAAAGATGAAGCATGTTTTCGCGTGCCATATAGTTCGGTGGTAGAACTGAATACTTTTAAATCCGAGTTCCTACGTTGTTTTTCTTCACTTTCTCAATGAGTTCTTTCGGTCGTTAGCGGTGAGTCTATAAAATGCGGTAACGTTGAAAAATACCGAATAAATTGTACAACTACCTTTCGGAATGTCTTTGATGACAAGGCCGCAGTTTAGTTCGTGCTCTCAACCTCGGCACATATGTCATGCAGGCTATTTTTTCAGTTTTATTACCTTGTTAATTTTTGTTTACGAGGCTTTCTCTTGGATTACCAAACCCGCCTTGGACACAACAGAGGTAACCGCCGCCAGTGACTTCCGCGACTTTATTCGCAGCATTAGTAAGTGCAACTCACATATTGAGGTATATAGCGCACAAGGTAGATACCTCAATATGTTAGACTACCAACTAGCCCAAATGTCAACTTTACTGAAGCGCAACTGACTTTTTCCTTGGGCTGAGAGCGGCAATCGACCCTGGCAATCGCCATGTTTTTTTTTGTTTTTTTTTTGTTTAAACAATATACAGGTCACAGACTCGGGGCAAGAAAAGAAATTGTGTTTCATAATAGTTCACGTGGAAAAATGTTTGCTGTTCGAAGCGAGAACGGGAGTGTTAAGAGTAGAGACGTATAGGGCTAAATTTCAAGAAAGAGACAGACTTTGGGTTGTGTGCCATAGTGAGAGTGAGGCGCTAGAACATTTGTTTTCGAAATGCACTGGTGAGCTTTGACCGACCCGCCCTGAATGAATAACGGTTTTGGGGGAGGAGGGCGAGGGGGAGGGAGGGGTCGTCTGGGTTTTGGTGACGAAGATGGAAGAATTGAGAAGGAAATTATTACAGTCACAAAAGGGAGGTTAGAATATTAGTGGAAACTATCCAGGAAAAATTGAATGAGGTGAAATTAACTAGCCCGGCTGGAAAGAGGGGGGACAAAAAAAAAATTGGTACTCCCTCCCGCGTGGCTCCGGTCCAAAGTCTCAACCCCGTCTCCCAGTGGGCCCGGTGTCCGGGTGACGCCGACTAGGTTTCACAGAGGAAAATAGGCGACTTCCTCGCCGGGGGAACAAAGTGAAAGATAATGTTTTATAGTTCGTCTTTTATCATTCCACGGTCGTCCTGGCGATATCCCACACTACCTAATGATATTGCCGCGTGCGCAGCTAGCCAAGTAGGCAGCGCGCACGTGGCCTAACGATTATCGTGCCTGCGTCCCACGCGAAAAGCCACGGCGTTCGATTCCTGGGAGAGGCGTGTCTTTTGTTTGTCCCCGCAATTTAGTGTTCTGGTTAATACCAGAATTATGGTGCTTGCTCGAGGTCCGAATGTTCTACGCGTCAAACTTTCTGCGCCGATTATTCCAGAAGTCCAAGCGTGTACATAAGGGGCTTCGCGTAGCGAGCCAGAAGGAGTTTTCGCCCCAGCGTTCGACTCTGCTGTCACGCTGACTTCGTCGGCCGCGACACTCTGCTTTCTACTGTTCTTTTTTTATATTTTGGAACAAGTTCGGCTCCATTAAACGTTTCAGTTCCACAGTTATTCTTTGTTTCACCTTGTCATTCGTGAAAATATTTGTTAAAACAAATGCAGAAGGGGTCAATTTCGGTTAGGAAGGCGAGGGGATGGAGCATAGTTTTGGTTTCTAAGCTAGGTGGCGGAAGAAACCGCCCGTCATAAATAGTACAACCACTAGCATCCATCCATCGTTAGCACGAAGCGTGTCCTTGGATTCGTGTTGACACCTAACACTGACGAAGGCCTTGAGTCCATAGATGCTCAGTGTACGTCCCAAATGAATGACTATACTCGGATGATCGGCGCAGCAGCCACTAGACGGCTTCAACGTTTCCAAAGAGTCTACTAGCTCATTTATTGACGCGTTAAGGACACTCATTAAATGACAACAAACTTAACTGTTTAAAACACGGCAATGAAAAGCAAATGTTAATTTGAGCGTGAGAGAGGCAACTGTGATGACGACAGATGTTCGGAAGAGTAGAGAACCCTGTTTCTGACGGCTTGAAGCTGAGCTAGTTGGTTCATGCTTGTTAAAATGCCAGCTGAACGTTTGAAGGACACACACACAGAGACGAGCAGAGGCAGATACACCGCAATATGTACACTAAAGAGAAAAAAGATTTCATTAACATTGTTTCTGGTCCATTGGTGTCTCTGCCTTTTTGTTCGTCTCTGTGTGTGTCCTTCAAACCTTCAGCTGGCATTTTAACAACCCTGTTTTTCCCTACCGCAAAAATAAACAACGTATTGCCGATCGCAAAGTCTCAGCTCAAATACCCATGTAGCGCGAGCGGTTAGGACCCGATGACAAAGTTTCTCAGCGCTATTTCGGCCAAAGATCTAAGCGATTAGCTAAACATTTTTTATAGAGGAAATGGCGACCAGAGGAGCCCGCAAACACACAAAGATAAATAGAAAACTCTATAGCAGAACGCGCACCATTTTCTTGGTGAATAATAAAAAAAAAAAAAATCTGATAACTTTAGCATTTGATAATACTAAGTTCCAAAACATTGGAGTCTAGCCCAAACCACTAACGCAATATTTTTTTATTTTAAT